AGAAGCTACTGGAAGAACAAAAATGGGCTTGGCCCTAAGCCCGTGACTCAAGAGATTATCATAAATACATAAAGTCTACCTGAAATATCATCAACACTAGCAAATAGTCAGTACTACCATACCCTGGTCTAGTATAATTTCTCAGGCTAATCTTTTATTAATCCCGTACGTATTTTTTTAAAAAAGTTTTTGTTAGACTATCTACTAACAATGACTTTGATATCATTATTCCTGCTGAGTAGCAAATGAGAAGAATAACTGATGTATAAATGCCTCCAAGACAGACAGAGGACTGCAACCTAATCTCTCAGTGACAAAACTTAGACAAGAATGTCACATTAAGATGGTTAAATCTGAAACTAATCTCTGGGGATAAACCTATACTACAATTTCCTAGTGTTGGCCTTCAAAGGCTTGTCTCTTAAAAGCAACAAGGAACTTCTGGCCTACACAGAGACCTGTCACATGTGTTTCTGTACACAGGAAGTACACCAGAGGTAACAAACAGAATTCACTATTAAACATTAAATGGAACTACCTGGGGAAAAGAGAATAACTGACCCCCAAAAGCCTTTCATATTGTCTTAGTCCATTCAGGCTGCTACAACAAAATACCATTAACTGGGTAGCTTATAAACAACAGAAATTTATTTCTCAGAGTTCTGGAGGTTGGTAAGTCCAAAATCAAGGTGCCGGTAGATTCAGTGTTTCCTGAGGGCCCAGTGCCTGGTGAGGGCCCACTTTCTGGTTCATAGATGGCATCTTCTCATTGTGACCTTACATGGGAGAAGGGGTGAGGGATCTCTCTTGGGCCTCTTTTATAAATCACTCCTTATCCCCCGTGGCCCATCCCAGGACTTAGGATTTTAACACATAAAGTTTGCAGAGGACACAAACCTTCAGACCACACAGCACACACTAATTACAGTCTCTGATTTAGAGCCAGGAACGCTCTCTTTACATATTCTCAGGCACTCACCTACAATTGGATAGACTCTGAGATGTTTAAAAATAGATTTATTTTGCAGCCAAACATTAAATGCTGCAACAAGCTGTGAAGGCTTTCTTTCAGGAACAACATCAAACAGCAGCCTGCAACAGGGGTGGGGAACTTGTGGTTTTGGGGCCACGTGTGACCTTCTGGATCCTTGAGTACAGCCTTTTGACTGAATCCAAATTTTACATAACAAATCCTTTTAATAAAGGGCCCTACGATGAGGCTTCCCATTTCCTCAGCCAGCAGAGCTCTTCACAGCCCATGTTTCCATCTCTGAAGGTGGGTCACAGACATGAGGAGACTTGGAGTTTCATAAAAAGAGCACTGGGCTGGAAGTCAGAAGAATTCAGTTCTAATTTTAATTTTGTCGCCAACCAGTCATTTCATCTTGGCAAAGGAACTTGGGCCATTGAGTCAAAATTTCTTCTTTTGGAAAAGGGAAGTGGTAGTAAGATAGCAAGGAAGCCAATACATTCGGATTGTCTACTGGGGATGAACACTTTCCAAAGACTGTGAGCAATAACCCTGCAATGAAGGTTGCTTGAAGTTACAAATGAAAAAATGGAGGTTCTAAGATAAAATCACTCGATCGGAGTTACACATTCTGGAAGAGATAGAGGCAGAATTCCTAGCGCAGGGGTTGTAACCCGTGGCTAGCTTTCCCTGGATTACCATATTCCTCTGGGAACCCCCAAGTGTCCAAGAATTCTAAATTTGAAGGTTGCCTTCCAGGATATGGTAAAGGTATTTTGTCAAAGTAAACAGATAAAAAGTATACTGACAGTTTGTTAGAATAATGGTATATAATTAAAAATACACATAAGAATCTGGATCTTGAGCTCCTCAGATGTTAGAGGCAGTTTTGAATGTTAAAATGCATTTTTGTTGGAAAGGAATTATAATTATCAAATACAGGTCCATAACACCCATATACACCTTACATTTTTATAAGTTTTTAACGTCTACAAAGCTCTTTCTCATTTGTGGTCCCCCTAACTGCAAACTATAAGGCTGGAAGAAGTTATAGCCCATGTTCTACAGATAAGGAGTTTGCAGTGGATGCCTCTGGGGCCAGGTCACCTCCCTTTGTCCCACTTTTGATTTTAGCAGCTGCTGTTGTGTGGACAGTTCTGGGAGACTCACCTGCTGCAGCCCACAGCCAGCCTCAAACACTTGTAGGGCTCGTGTCACTCCCCCTTTTTCTCCTGGGATCCCGTCCTTAATCACATGCCAATCTAACCTAGAAGTGTGGGGCAGCCCTCAACTTACAGAGGAACACAGATGCCAGTGGGTAAATGTCTCCGATCTCTTTAATGGGCAGCCTGAGAGGAATTCTGTAGGTTCCAGAGAGATCCCAATGAAACCAAGGCCCCGGTGAAGACCCATTACCCATAGCAGTGACTTCAGTAACTCATATCCTCCCTGTCTTATTCTCCTGACTCTCTCCTTCCTGCTTCCAAAGAAACTACTTGCACCCGAGTCCTGGTCTGAGGCTCTGCTTTGGGGGAGGCTCTGCTCTGAGAGGAGTGGAGGCTGAGCAGGGGGAACTGGGCTGCACAGGGCCACCCTGGCGGGCAGGGGAGGCAGCCCTCTCTCCCAGCCCTCCAGCTTCTGAATCCAGCAACTCCCTTCCATGTCCTACCTTCAGTTGTGCACATAAGGTTAAGAAACTGCCATTTCTACCTTTTGCCAATATACCAGAGAAAAAGTTTAAATAATACATGTTTGAGCAAAAAGTTAATAATAAATGATAACACTCACCTTTGCTCAGAGTTACAAAGATGATCTGCTCAGCTACCACAAAAAAACTCTGCATTTTTCTCAGAATTTTAAAGTATTACATTTTGTTTTGTTGGTGTTGTCTGATTTACTTGTGTAGGTAAATTATAAATATTAACTTTTGCCCCAAGTGTTACAGATGAGAAAGCTGAAGTTTCAGAATTTTCAGCGTTGCATATTTAACTAGTATCAGAAACAGGAATATAATCCTCCTATTCTAGGCATATTCCAGACTTTGCCTACCAACTCTGGTTGACAGCAGCTGTGTAGATTATTCTCAATGAAGGGCATTCGTTTGGGGCTTTACAGTAGATTTTGTTTTCAATTTTCCTAGTATCTCTGTTCCCTTTTTTACCAGTAATGGCACCCCAATTGTGTTTTGAGGACCCAATCCTCCTGAATACTCAATCCATGAACTCCAGGTTTGAATGACCTACCAGTTAGTTCTTAGTTCCAGAGCTTGGAATATGACAAGTGCCTGAGCAATCACTGAATTCTCCCCAACCTGGCCACAGTGAGCTGCTCAGAGAATGGAAACGGACCCAAGCCTGGCCAATTAGAGGGATATCGAGACTTTGCTGGGTCCATGGAAGAACAGCCACTCTTTTTCCAGCAGGGAGCGAGGCCAGGAGACTGCAAGCTTTGAGTGCCTGGTGGCCATTTTGCCACCATATTGGAAAAGTCTGCCTGAAAATGAAGCCACTAAAGCAGAGAGATGGATGGAGACAGACTGCTGATGTGATGAGGATCTAATCTCCCCTGAATTTATTTATTTATTTATTTGTTTGTTTGTTTGAGTCAGAGTCTTACTCTGTTGCCCAGGCTAGAGTGCCATAGCATCAGCCTAGCTCACAGCAACCTCAAACTTCTGGGCTCAAGCAATCCTCCTGCTTCAGCCTCCTGAGTAGCTGGGACTATAGGCATGCGCCACTATGCCTGGCTAATTTTTTCTGTATATTATTAGTTGGGCAATTGATTTCTTTCTATTTATAGTAGAGATGGGGTCTTGCTCTTGCTCAGGCTGGCTTCGAACTCCTGACATTGCAATCCACCCTCCTCGGCCTCCCAGAGTGCTAGGATTATAGGCATGGGCCACCACGCCCGGCCCTCCCCTGAATTTAGATTTGCCATTGGACTTTACAGTCAGAAGAGTTGACACATTACTGCCTCATCTTGTCCTTTCAGGTTTCCCCTGCTTGCATTTCAACAAGTCCCATCAGAAACACTCTGTACGTGAACATTAAACAGCCTCAGCGCAGTGCCTCTCCCCTGAAGAAACGGCTATGTGCTCTCCACTAACAAGGAACAGGCCAGGTAGCCAAGGAACAGAAGCAGAGCTAATGAAATCTCAGCAGAATCCTTTGTCCCAGCTTCAGAGAGCCTCAGGAATGAGGTGCTGAACCAGTCTCTTTAAGTATCCATGAAGCAGCAGGCCTCAGACAAGCCATCACCTTTAATGAAGGGAACACCAATGCCACAAGCACTGCCTTTCAGACTCACCCGTCAGCCACAGCCTCAAGTCAAAATCAGACGGCAACTAGAGTTCAGAGGAAAGACCTGAGATTGGGAATTCCTTTTGTTTACCTTTATTTTCTTTATTTCTCTCTCTTTCCTTCTTTTTCTTTTCTTAAAATTACATAGCATCATTGAATTGAGAATCAATGTTTTCATATCTGTAAGCCCTTACGGGAACGTCTAACCATTCTTCTACCGTGTGATAAACTGAATAATAAGAACTAGAGAGGTAGACAAGAAAAAAGAGTCGAAACCAAATCAAGAAACCTGTCCCAAGGCAATATGGATATGAAGAAAACAACAGATTGTACTTGCTTTTAAAGGGCTTTTCCCTCCTACCCCTGAGAAAAGTCATCAAATATTTACTTTCATATAGAATGTCTCAAAGCCAGGAGGGCAGGTTTCAAGCTTGAAATGCAGGCAGGCTCGTGGGCAATGGTGCTGCAGGAGTTCCTGGAGCCTAGAACAGTCTCTGGCTGTGACAGGGAAATGGGGAAGAGGTACCTGAGTGCCGACAGGTTTGCCAGACAACCCTGCAGCAAAGAGGTGTGGGGACAGGGGTTGGCCCGACTGCACACTGGGCCTCCAAGCCTTTGTCTGCCCTTGAACACCCACATGTCCTAGAGATGAGGCTCCCTCTGGGCTTACCTCATGCTTGGAACACCTGAAGTCTACACATTTAGCTTTTGAATGTGACACGCAAACTTACCTGATGAATTCCACAGAGTAGTACTCAATAGGCGAGCTCCCTTCGCTCGCCCCAGGTTTCCAGGATAGGGCCACCTCGGAATCAGAAACCACGATGACATGTGGCTGCTGGGGTGCCGCTGGGGGCAGGCAGGAATCTAGGAGGAAGGACAGACGCAACTAGACTTGGCTGGTGGTCTCAGCTGCTGGAGAGGTTTAATACATAGACAGCACGTGGGCTTCGTACAACCAAAACATCCCCGTTCAGAACAGCCTCAAAGCCCAGATCAAACAAATACAGAAACATGATCACAACTGGATCCGCCAGGTAAGTTCTCAGTCAATGAAAGCTGTTCTTCCCTTCTTCCCCCAGCACTTCTGACTGCAAATCCAACTAAATTATGTCCCAGCCACTGACCCGAGGACACACAGTCGTATGTAGCCTTGAAAACCTCCAATACACCCCCACCACCTCACAACCTTTCTTCTCTGTTTGCATGTAAGAATTAATATTTATCTATAAGGAAAATTAAATGCTTAGAATTACTGCCACCTACTTACAATTCTCGTGTGTGTGTGTGTGTGTGTGTGTGTGTGTGTGTTGCCCCTTGATAATCCGAGTACACAGCAAGGGTGGGAGGTTTGGACGTGCTCTCATGTGCAAAGATGTGGGAGTCCCCCACGATCCCATCACCTCGAGTGACCGCTGTTTCTATCTTCACGTCCAGACTAGCACACCTCCCAGCCTTCGTTCATACTACTGCTTCTGCCTGGAAGACTTTTCCTGCCTTCTCTCCCTGGCAAAATCCCATGCATTTTTCATAATTCAGGCCAAACATATGACTCTTTCTGGAACCCTCCCCGAGCAGGGGGGCAGAGGAAGGTGCCCTGCTGTGTGTCCCAGCCTACTGTTCAGACTGCAGATGTACCTCTGTCACTTGCCTGCCTTTGCTTCTCCCCGCACAGAGAGCATGCTAACAATGACCGCCATCAACCCACCTCTGTGTCCCGGTGTCCAAAATGGTGCCCCCTCAGCGAGCGTTTATTGGGTTCCCTTTGCCTATAAATCTCTTTTCCCCCTCCCCTCGCTTACCTCCTTAATTCCTACTCCCCCATCAGATCTCCACTTAGTTGTCATCTCAGGGAATGACAACTCACTCCTACGCTGTGCCTTCCTGCAGCACCGTGGGTAGCTTTCACCACCATCTGTAACTACACACTAACTAGAGAATGTCTTGACTCACCCCACTAAGTTCAGAGAGGGCAGGAACTGTGCCTGCTTTCATTCACCACTGAATTTCCAGAGCCTAGCACAGTGCCTGGCACATAGTAGGTCCTTCTTGATATTTGCTGAATAAAGGACTCAATGAATATCGGCCTTCACGTTCCTATTGCTAATGAACTTGAACTTCTTTTACCTTGGGACAAAGTGGTAACGTGCCGAGCAGAGCTGAGCCGCCCCTTGCCCGTCTGGCTGTAAGCTGCTATGCTCACTCGATAGGCAGTGCCTGGTTTCAAATCTCCGATCACTTCCTCCTGTCAGTGACCAAACAAGAAAGGTGCCAAGGATCAGAAGTTCTGTTTAGGCAAATGGTACGTTTTCCATGGGGTTTCTATCTCAAGGCCCCCGTTGAGACTGCTTGGGTCAGAGATTGTTTTGTTTTCTCTAGGCTTGGCCCAGCTTTAACATTGGCTAAGAGGAAAACCCCATGACACACTTCCCAAGACTGGAGGATCACCCCTAATTGTAATCTGTACTACCATCCTCCAACCGGGGCTCGTTCACACTAGCAAACGCTGCTGTTAACATCAGAACTCTTTGCTCAGAGCACGAGGCTGCTGGAATGCAGACAACGGTCTTTCCCAGGGTTGGAATTCTCCAAATCATTCTTTCCATTTGCCGACTGCAGAGGCTCAGTGATTAGGTGAGCAATGGTAAACAGGTCTTGATTTGTATCTATAAAGTAGAGACTAAAATTTTAGTTCTCAAATTTTAAATAGCATCAGAACCACCAGGAAGACTTTCTTAAAAACAAATGGCTGGGCCTGGCCCCAGAGTTTCTGATTCAGTCAATCTGGGGAAGGGCCTGAGAATTTGCAGCTCTCACAAGTTTCCAGGTGATGCTGCTGCTGGTTCAGGGAACCCCCATGGAGAACCACTAGGACCAATGAGGGAGGTACATGTGAACCCCCTTTACTAATGGCCTTGACCAGGAAGTCCCAGCTGAAGAGGATTCGCTCTACCTTGGGCTTTGGTGACAGTGATATGTGTGCTCAGAGCTACAGTGCTAAAGAGTGACTGGGAGCCAGGGTCTCAGCGGTGAGAAGCAGAAGCACATAGTAGTGGGAAGGGCACTGGCATTGGAGTCAGCCAGTCCCGGGTTCGAATCCTGTTTCTGCCACTTAGTACTAGCTGTGGCCTTAATACGAAATTCCCTACGCCTCAGTTTCTTCTTCTGTAAAACCGGCATGGCATGCAGCCATCTCACATGGCCATAATGTTTGGGATAATGTGTGTACAGTAGCTGGCGTGGAGGATGGACTCCAGAAATGAGCCATAATGATCACTGTCACACGTATGTGGGAACCATCCTCTTCTCGGCTGACCTCAGTTTCCCCATTGCTCCAAGGCCAAGGCCTCCCCAGACAGCTTCCCTGACCACCCAGGCCTGGTGATCTCGCCCTGCTGACCACTGTGCCACCACGTTGGCACTCACACAGTGCCTGCACGTCGTGCACTTCTCCACAGCCTCCTCTGCAGAAGACTGAACATTCATTGTTGCTCAATAGAATTCAGGGAATCCAAAAAAATTTTTTTAAAGCATTCAACGAATAATTATTGAATACTTAACACAGAGTTCATAAACCCTGACAACACATTAGAATCACTTGGAGATCTAAAAAACACTGATGCCTGGACTCCGCTCCAGACGGCCTCAATCAGAGTCCCTGGGGGACAGAGCCCAGATGTCTGTTTAAAGCCCTCCAGGTGGTTCCAGTGTGTGGCCCGGTCTGTGGACCACTGCTTTAGGGCCCGGCTCACCTGCTCTGAGCCCATCTGTTCCCTCTCCTCTCATTGTCCTGGCTCTCCAGCCTCCCCCATCTCTACCAGATCTTTCTGTATTTACTGTGCTGAAGACTCTCCCATCTTAAAAATGGCCATCCCCTACCACATGTGCACGCCTGGCTCCTCTGCTCAGAAGCAACCTTCTGCAAGAATCTGTCTCTGCTTCCTCACCTCCTATTCACTCCTCAACTTACTTCTGCCTGGCCTCTCTCCTCTACAACCCTGTTGAGATGGTTTCACCAAAGTCACCACTACAACCCTGGAGTAATACCAGTGGGTGTGTCTCTGTCTGTCACAACTTGTCACAGCTGCCAATGCTGTTGCCCAGCCTTGCTTCTTCAACCCTGGCTCCCTTAGGAACCATATTCTACGTCTCGCTGGTCACCTTCTACTTCTTGTGTAGAAGCCTCCTTTCCAAACCCTCCACCCATTCCCCTTTCTCTGCTACCCCTAAGTGTTGGTCTTTCCCAGGACTTCACCCTCACCGTCTCCTCTTCTCCCTCTGCAGAGTCTTGCGTGGGCAAACTCAGCTGCCACTCCCTTCGTGGTGATACCTCCCAAATCTACACCTCCAGCCCCAGCCTGCCTCTTGGTCTCCAGGCGTGGATTTGTGACTGCCCCGTGAACATCTCTACCCAACAACTGCCAAGCAAATCAAATTTCACATAACCAAAGCTCAACTAGTCATTCCTCCATCTACTGCCAAAACCGAACCAAAACAAAACATTTCTTCACCTCTTACATTTTCTATCTCTCATTACCCAAATCCAAAATTCCTGAAACATTCCTCTATGTGCTCATCCCTCCTCCCTAACCATCATCCAATCAGTTACCAACACAGCTGATTCCACCTCTGTCATATCACGTGAATGTGTTTATGTCATTTTGTCTTTACAGCCATTTAAGACCAAGTCCTCATAACTACAACAGGCTCTGACTCCCCCGCCACCAATGCTGCCATGATTGTACCTCCAATCTCAACTCCACACTGCTATGCTAGAGTTATCCTCCTAAATGCAAAATCTGATCATGCTCATCACACTTACACTAGTATATTTGTGTCCTTTTGTTTATCCTTCCAGCACTACCTCGTGCCACAATCCTCGTGCCACAATCTCCTCCTTTCATTCTACATTCTGGTCATACTTAAGAACTTGGCAGTGCTCAAAATTTATGCCATTCAATGCCTCTGGGCCTTTGAACCTGCTGCTCCCTCTACATGAAATGCCCTTCTCCCTACTCGTGCCTGGCTCAACCCTGCTCATCCTTTATGACTCAGTCCAGCTGAGACATTACCTCATTTCTCTGACCCCCAGCCCCAGTCTGGTTCGGTGCCCCTCCTCTGTGTTCCTTTGTGTCCCTGGTGCACCTCAATCTAGCACCACTCACCTTGTATTGTAATTGTCTGTTTATTTGTCACCTTCTGCCCACCCACTTGAAGGTGGAAAAGGCGGGAAGCAAGTTCTTATTCCTCTGGCATCCCAAAGCTTAGCATAGTATATGAGATACCTAGCAAATGCTTAAGCAATGCTTTTTGATGAATGAATAAACTAGTGAATGAAGGAAAGAAAGAAATCAAGCCACGATGTCCCCTAGGAACAGATTACCTCGTCAAGACACCAGTTTACACTACTGAGCCCTCAGTCTTGACTCACAGCATGGGTGCCCCTGCCCCAGCCCTGGATTAGCAGCTCCAGGGACAGGACTGGCTTCCCCTTGCCCACCTCCCTCCGGCCACCCCCACTGTGCCTTCCGGAACTGCTCCCTTCCAATTCCACCTCAATGCCCTAGTTCAGACCCCTTTGACCTGCTACAATGTCCTGGAGGGTGTCTGTCTCCAGTCTGCTCCCCCCACCAACTCCCACTCCATTCTACCTGCAGCTTCACAAGGGGCCTCTGTGGAACACACGGACCTGTCTTCGGAGCTCCCCTCCCCTGCTCTACTTCCCTGCATCTGTGCACCCGAGATCCACCTTCTGTCCCCAGGGTTCACACCAAGTTTGGCGGCTGCACAACTGAGACTGGAGGTAGCAAGTGGATCCGACTCCAGCACTCACTGCTCTTCCAACTGCCACTCCAGGCGTTTCTCATGGAAGCAGAAACATACTTTCAAGCCAACTCAATGCTCTCCCAGGCTTTTGCTTTGGGACCCTTTTCTTCTGGGAAGTCATTACAGTGAATAAAGCATGGCTGTGGCCATATGGTTTCATAGACTATTGCAGATATTAGCTATGAGCCAATACCAAGTACAGCTACCATTAATTGCCATTTATGGGGTGTTTTCTCTGTTCCGGGAACAAGGGGTCTTTGCACACATAGCCTTATTTAATTCTTCTTTCAGCCCTTTGAGGTAGGTATCATTCTTATTTTCATTTACAGAGGAGGAAACTGAAGCCCTGAAAAGTTGGCAATTTCCTTAAGGACATATATTTAGCAAGTGGCAAACTGGGGATTTGAACCCTGGTCAGTTTGACACTAAAGCCCAACTTCTAATTGGATAACAAGTGTGAAGGATATTAAGTAATGTTTAAATAAAAAAAATACTTATAAATATTGAAGACCAAATTATTGCTACTTATCTATGAATATGAAAGTTAATATATCAGAAATTTAAATGCTACCACTAAAAAATAAGAAAAATCATATTTGTAGAAGTTCCATAGAGAGATTAAAAAACACCGAAACGCTTTATTGGATATGGGAGATGAGTGCTACGTTCAGCCTGGGTGCGCTCTGAGAGGTGCAGGGTGACCCTCCTACAAGCCAACGGTTTCCAGTCTGAATCTCGTCCAGGGCTGGCACACTGAATAAGTCTCAGATTGAGTCACTGTTCTGGGTCAATCAGACCACTGCACTCTAACACAGGGTGGTGGTAAACCTCCTTATGTGGGGGGCAGAGAACAATCTACTGAGATGCCAGAAGGAAACACAAAAACTTCGTATTTCTGTTTTATCTCCTTCATTAAAATTCTGTGAGATTTTATAATGTACATAATATATCAGTTAAGTAGCACATGTATAATGTATAAATACATAAATATACATATATTGGTGCATGTTCAAATATTTCTAACTGATGGTATGCATGATCAAAAAGTGTGGAGACCACCAGTCTAAGCATCCTTTTCTATTTCTAACTCTAAAAAACCACCAGATTGCCCTGATTTGTTTGACTATTTCGCTTTCCAGGATGAAACCTGCAGGTGTTCTTCTAAGAAAAAGATAAGATGGGTGTGAAATGCTAATCAAATCAGAAGCCTCTGGAAGGCAAATTATCAAACAATGCATCAGAATTCTACATTATCAGCCAGGTTATTTTGATCATTTTATCAGTTAAATCTTACTAACCATTCATCAACCCACTCCCTCGTTTGGCATTCAATCCAGAAAATCATATCAACCTTTTTTTAAGGTGATGGGTCCTTTCTTATTGAAAATACAATCTGGAATTGTCGGAAGGGGTGAGGGAGTAAGAAAAGGGGATTAAAGGGGTGGGAACCACTTCAGAGTGTTTCTTACTAGTTAAATATTTTCTCTCCTTTTCTATCTGTTTCACCTGATCTTGGAACAGAGCTCAAATTACTTTCAGACTTTAAAGGTGGTCCCCTTAACCTTACTCTGCCATATGAGATGAGGGAGCACACGCGAGGACAAAGGCTCACCTTGTATACTCAGCAGTCACTGCTTACACCACAACCTAGCACCGTCCATTGGCCTTAACAGTAAGAGGGAGGTGCAAGAAAACCACGTTCTGAGGACAAGAGACTCCCTGAATCCTAGGTTGGGACAGGGGGTTAACTTTTCTAAAACATACTTACAAAAATTGTCTGATGATCAGGTTGTCCCTGGAAAGGAGGAAAAAAACAGAAGCAACATGAAAAGAAAACTTGTGGGACTAAAATGAACCCATAGAGCCTACCCCTTCCGCTATGTGCAGCCAAGGGCAGCAAATCTTTGCAATGTGAATTATATTGACCACTTACTAAGTTCTTATTCTGTGCCAGGTACTGAGATAAGGGCTCTGCAATCATTACCTCATTTCATATTTATAACCTCCTTATTCAATAGGAGGATATGATATAGCACCGAGGTTCCCCCAAACTTTCTCTGTTCATGGCACCCTTAGTGTCTCAGCAAAAAGAAATGCCTAACAGTTTCATTTATTAAGTAGTTACAAACAAAAACTTCGTAGTAGTAGTAGTTCACACAGATGTTGCCCTTTTCCTCAAAAAATGCCAAATATTCCACCCTGCCCCTGTGAGCCTGCTGCAGAGCCCTGGAGCACCCTGGCACACTGTTTGGGAACCACAGACATACCACCTATGATGTGGATATTATTAGAATACCAGTTATGTTGATGAGGAAACTGAGGCCCAGTGAGGTTATACAGCTGGCTTGTTAAAATGCAGAGATCTGAACACAAGTTCTCTGAATCCAGAACCCACCCTGTTATACCAGACTCCCTCCCTCCTCTCTTGTTCACTCACTGCCTTTATGTCTAGGCCAGGGGTGGGGAACCTTTTCATGTTGGAAGGCTGCATTAATTTAGCTATAATCAAATAAGGCCTCATTCAAAAAACTTCAATTAGATATACTTAAAAATGTACATTATTTTCTAAAAATCTATTATGTACTTAATAATTTCAAAAATGGAAACTGTTAATTTTAAAGTTAAATAACATTTTAATGACTTAATTGTGTCTGCTTTTTGTTTAAAAGCATTTGAATATTTGGTTGCAGCATGGAGGTCCACAGTTTCAGTTGATCCTCTATATGGGTACCAGTCATTTGTGATCTTACGGGCATCTTGATTTGGGTTAGGTAGGAGAGTGCAGATTCACAGCAATAAGTGGTTGAAAAGTAATAAAGCATTTTGGGGGCATGTTGCTGAAGGCATGGGTATACGGCTACATTTTGCCATATTCCAATTGGATCTTTCTTAGCATCAAACAATGACTTTAAAATATCATCCATTGAGAGCTCAATTCTTTAGGTACCTTGGTGATATCAAATAGGTGAGGCTTAAATGCTAGTTTGAGCGTGATGTCATGATTCTCAAAGTCAGTGAAACTTTCATTGTATTCTCCAATTTATATAACAGGTTTATATAACAGCTGTGTATTCTTCAAATGATTTACATATGTCATCCTGCTCATCAATGACCTTTGCTAACCAAGGAAAATGTTTATATGAAATTTCCTTTTGAAGAAGAAGTGTTTTGAAAAAAGATAGCTTTTTAAAAAATGCTTGAATTTTTTGCCACATATCATATATAGACTTAGTTTTACCTTGCAAAGAAATATTCGAGTCATTTTGATTTGACATATCACACAGAAATGCTGCATTCCTACAGAAATCTTCTTTCAGTAATTCACATTGTTGATTCTGTTCTTCATAAAAGTTAACTATCTGTTCTTGCAGACATAAAATTTTGCCTAACTCCTGTCTCTGTAATAGCCAATGCACTTTGGAATGATACAGCAAATTCACACTAAATACCCCATCTTTCAACTTCAGCATGTAATGAAACCGACCATGTGCTGTTGCATTTGCACAAATATAGTTAACAATACTTATAATTTGTTGCAAAGTGTCACTTAAAATAGTAGCTTTAGCGCAGAGATTTTGCTGATGCAAGATGCAATGAAGGCAAATGAGAGTATCTGAATCTTTTAATATTTTTTTTGTCTGTGCAATAAACCCTTCATGATTTCCTGTCATGGAAGGTGCACCATCTGTACATACACTCACTAAATTTACCAAAATTTGTCAAACTTCAGGACATTTATCTTGAAAGTTGTTGAAGATATCTATTCCCTGTGTTTTGTTAGCAAGAGTGCCCAAAGCACGAGTAACTCTTTGTAGCAAAGAAAATCTTCTGTTAAGATGGGAATGAAGAATACAACCTGTGCAGAGAGTCAGCAGTATCAGCTTATTCATCCAAAGTGATTGAATAATATATATTTTCCTTTTGAAGTATTGCATGAAGCTGTTCTGTTAAGTTGAAGGCTAATTCATGCTGCTGATCAGTTATGCTTCTCATTGAAAAAGGCAGTTGTTTCTACCTTGAAACACTGTCGGGGTCTACGCATCCTACAACTTCGACAATGCATTCTTTAACAATTTCTACATCACGAAATGGCTTCCTTTCCCCCCCAAGTATATAAGCTACTTTATAAGTTGCTTCAGTGGCATTATTTCCAGGTCTTATTGCTGCTTTAAAAAATTGTCTTTGGTTTTGCTTTTCATCTTTTAATTTCTGCAATACAACCTTTCACTTTTCTTCTTCTAATTTAAAATATTTGTGGTTCTTTTGAGTGTTATAATGCTGATGAGCATTGAATTTCTTTCATGTTGATATTACAGTATCAGAAAGCAAGCAAATCATCTTATCTTTAGCAGAAACAAGATAATATTGCAATTCCCAATCCTCACTAAAAAATCTGTGTTCTTCCTTCAGTGCTTTCTTGGTCTTCTTTGAAATGATGCATTGCTAAGCAGATGGAACTAAAAAATACAGTCAAGCTGTACAACTATTCACAAATTCCACTCAAACAATAACACAGTGCACAGTTGTCCAAAGCTTATAACAGACTGGTGTACTCGACCCCCATAAACTCACGCCAATCAGCCTCATGCGGTAAGAGCACCAGTCAAGCAGGGGAAGTGAGAACTAAATCATGAAACTTATGTTATTCTGTTGTATTTTAAAGACATTCATTTTAAAAATAAAATAAAAATATAAAAGACAAACGAAAATGTATTAACAAAAAGGATTTATTCTGTAAAATTTTGATCCAGTCAAAGGCTGCACTTAAGGACCTGGAAGGCCACATGTGGCCTTGAGGCTGCAGGTTCCCCACCCCCGGGCTAGGCATTACTTCCTCTCTCCATTCTGTATATTCTGCAACTCTGCCAGCCCTCCCCCAAACACACAGACGGGCATGTATGCACACATCCATGCTCATTCCCTGAGTTCAAACCATTCTCTCCAATTAGGATGCCCCCTCCCTCAAGTATGTCTTTTCAGAAAGTTCCCTGCCTCAATGCCCAGCCCCAAGTTTTACCTCCTGACCACTCTTTCCCACACTCATCTCTCCCTCTTTAAACCTGTCTACTATATGGTATGTTAATGACGTCTGGTCTTACGTTGCTCCCCAGTTGTTTGATCAATATGGGTGTGGTTCTCCCAACAGGACTGAATGCTACCCCCAAATAAGGACTGTGTGTTGTCTTGCGGGGCATAGAGTAGCACTATGCAAGTTTGTTGAAATCAGCAAGATAATCAAATGCTAGAATTTGATAGCATACACTAATGCCTAGGATTAGATAATGGAGAGAATATAGGTAACATAAAAGTCATCAGGAATGATAACTAACATCTATGTGGCTTTTTATATTTTCCCATAGGCTTTTATAAACATGATTTTATTTGGTCCTCACAACTGTATAAATAATTATACCCCCTACATGGGAAAACATTGAGGTTTAGACAGGTTAAGTGACTACAGCCAACATTACCGAAGCTATAAGCAGGTCCAGAAGCCCAGAGCGCTGGTCTCCCTCCCAGCCCTCTGTTCTATGTTTCTATGGCAGTGACCTTCACAGAGATGCCAGTTTGGGGGCCAGGTTCTATGGAATGGGCAGGATCTCAATTCAGAGGCTCTGCCCAGAGGCAAGGCATCTGTCACCAGCACTACACCCTCGATGCCTGGGCTGTGCTCCAGCCCAAGCAGTGAGCCCTGCAGGACACAAGGCAGGGCAACTAGGGACACTGCTGGGGTGATGCGGCACCTTGGTGGGGTCACTGGGCTTGTTGAAAGTTCCAAGACAGTTGAGGGGAAAGGAAACCTCTCAACTTGTGGTTTCCTAGACGGGGCCAACCCAGTCTCCCCCTCTGAGGATAGAGTAAACCACAGAGGCTGGGGCAGAGGGCTTCTGCGGCTAATGAGGGGTGCTTAAAGCCTATTTTGAGATGAAAAGCATGTCCTGCAAAATAAAAAATAAAAAAAAAGCAAGCTGTGCATCTATTCCCTCTGAGTCATGAGAGCTTTGGTAAAACTAGCAAGGGCAGGGGCTCAGAGGGCAGTCAGCCCGTGGTTTACAGTTGATGCTGTTACTTGCTCGTGCACGATTTGAGGAAAGTTACTTCACCTCTCTGAGTCTCATCATCCTTGTCAGTAAAATGAGGTCATAGGATAGTTGTGAAGATTAAATGGCAAAGCAAATGTAAAGCATGAGGGATGGCACCTGGCAGGTAAGAGACCTCCAAAAGTGATAGCTATGCTACTTATCCTGGATGACAAACAGGCTTCAGACTAGGCGCTGCACTCAGCAGGCGCTGATGAGATGGGGTTGCAAACATCACCTCCACCACCAGGCAACAGCATTATGCGCACTGGTGCGAACTGTTGTAGAGCAATTCAGCGGGCTGCAGCCTGGGGTAGCAGTGGAACAGGGAAGGCCGGGAGAGGGAAAGAAAGGAACCCAGATGGTGCCTAAGGCAAAAAATTCACCCTGAGAGATCTTGAAAGGAAACAGAAAAGAAATAGATGAGGCACCAACAATTGGTTAGCGGAAGGACAGGGTGCTGGGCTTGAAAAGAAAAATAAACAACCTGGGCCGTTTCAACATACATTCCAAATTATATCCTTTCCTTCTGCATTATGTCTTCAGGCAGCTGGGAAAATACGAATGGCTCCTATTTATTTATAAAGCTTTATTGAGATTTCAAAAAAAAAAAAAATCAGAACTGAACTTTAGGCAGAAAAGAAGGGGGAGAAACAGCTGTGAGGTGGCTGGTTCCCTGCATGGTAAAATGGGCTTGAGAGCAGGCTGGGAGCGTTTACACCAGGACTCTTGCATCAGATGCCTGCCTGGATGGCTTGGTACGGAGGTAATGTACACGAAAGACATTTGGACATTCCAAAGGACTTACGAGCATCAGTTATTAGTAGTACATGTGCAGCAGCACACACACCAGATTGGCAACCCAACTGAATATCCCCGAAATGCCAGGCACCCGAGTGCCTTTGAGGGGCTGCAGGATGGAGACTCACCGTGGTGGGGGTGTCCCAGCTGAGAGGCACATGGTGTGACCGCTCCTGCAGGGATTTATCTGCGCCGATCTCAGAGTAAAAGACCTGGAAAAGATGCAGACACCCTGGGTGAGAGCAGAGCCAGCACCTAAGATCAGAGGTTTGAATCACACTCACCATGCCAGGGGGTTCTGAGGCATATCACCCCACCGCACATGCACTAGTTCCATGGGGACAAACATCAGGCATATCTGGTGGAGTCGTAAACTCAGAAGCCTATGGAGGCCAGGGGGGAAGACACAGATCAGAGAAGTGAGATGGACCTGGCTCTTCTTATCTTTTCCTAAATCATGACCTTCTAGGTCATCTTCCACTTGCCCAATTTGAGACAATGTGTGTCCAGAAATATATTTCTCCACTTGAAGGAGATGACAGGACAAGGGCTCCTGTCCCTTGGCAAAATGGAAACAGTAGCAGGTGGTGGGACTGTGGTGTTATGGGGGGCTTGGTGCCCCATAGGAATGTGGGCCCAGCCTGGCCAGCTCTCCCCGTATCCCAGAGATTTCAGAACTCCCAATATTCACCTGAAATATTCTGACTTCTAAAAGTTGACTCATTTCTTTTTTTTTTTATAGTATCTAACAGTTTTTTCTTTTTTTTTATTTCAGCATATTATGGGAGTACAAATGTTAAGTTGACTCATTTCTAAAAACACCGTTCAAAGAAAATATTTTGGTTGAAATCAGCCCAGTTTACAGCTCTGATGGAGAAGAATGCCTTCTCTGTTCCTTGCTCCACTTTGTCACCCATTGACTTTAATTCAGATTTTTCATTATTTTGTACTTCTTGACAACATTCATTCCACAGTGATTCCCTATTATTTATTTTCCATGCTTCTGTTTTATTCTCCAAATTTGACTACAGGCAGTTTGATAGCAGGAACCATGCCTTCTGCTTGGCTTATATTATATTTTACTGTAGCTGAACAGAGAAAGGACTGGATAGATCCTAACTGATTAATGTAGATGTGTTCAGGGCACTTAAAAAATGCTCTTCAAAGGGAAACCTTCTAGTTTCACGGAAGAACAATGGAGCAGTTATTAGTATGGGAGGACTGATACGTGGAGAAGCAAGGATGAGAAGGATGTACAGTCACCCGACACCCACTGCAGTCCCCATGCCCATGTACTCACAGTGTACCCAACGATGGGGCTCCCAGGATGCCGTGGCATTTTCCACTGGATGCTGAATGCTGTACAGTTCACGGCGCCCAGCGTGATGACAAGAGGAGGCCCTATCTTGCCTGCCTCCAAACAAAAGAGACTGTGTTAGAAGCTCCACGCATTCCCACTTTGAGGATACTCACACAAGATCTAAGGGTGTGTTCTTACAGATGGAGCGCACACTTAAAAATAATTCCACAGGCCAGAATTGCAGCCATCTCTCTGATATACCATACCTGTCCCAGATGACCCCCCTAACTTTGCTATCCTCTCCCAACCTGGCATTAGTAGAGAAATCAGCCCAACTATTGTCCTCAGTCCCTTGGGTGACTTCTAATAGGTCAGGGACCAGCAAAGGGAGATTCTGCGTAGTATAGATGATGAACACATCTGACTGGACTCTAGCAGTCCAGAAGATGACACATTTTTATTTACCCAATAATATATACTTTTATATATACATAACATAGATGTGTCTGCTTATATACCTAGTATATTTTTATTGTGGGACTTTTCAAAAATATGGTTAAGTATAAAATGGGATTTAAAAATTTTTTAATGTTTTAATACATACCTGCCTTAAGTAATTCTAGAATTATAAACAATAAATTCTAAAACAACAGATGCTGATTTGCAACAGATTGCAAAAATCTAGAAAATTCAAAAAATCACATATATTAATAATTCTACCATTTAGAAATGAGTCCTGTCAGCATTTTGGTGTACCTCCTTTTGGTCACATGCAATGTTTTAAAATTCTGTGTTTTTAAAATTCTGTGTTTCATTCTGTGTCTGTGTGTGCACGGGCATGCATGCCTATACAGGTTGAGTATCCATTATCCAAAATGCTTGCACGAGAAGTGTTTCAGATTTCTGATTTTTTTTAATACTTTGGAATATTTGCATTATACTTTCCCAAATCCAAAACTCTGAAATCTGAAATGCTCCAATGAGCATTTCCTTTGAGCATCATCATGTGGTACTCAAGAAGTTTCAAATTTTGGAGAGTTTCACATTTCAGATATTTGGAATTGGGATACTTAATTGTGTGTATATAAATGGTTGTGTTTATTATATATAGTGATTGTGTATATATACATATATATTCATAATTCTAAATCTTATTTCACTTGGTATTATATATATAGGATAGACAGCATTTTACTGTCATTAAAATCATTATTGTCAATGGCTGTAAATGCTTCTATATTATGCATGAGCCATAATAGACAGTATTTGTCATTCCCTTACTGTTAGACACAATTTATTTCCAGTATTTTGCTATTTTAAATCATGCTCCATGAGGGCAGGAACCAGGTCTGTCCTGTTCAGAGTACAGAGACTACTAAACAGTAGGAGCACAATAAGCATTCCTTAAGTGAATGAATATTCTGCCTTTTGATTTTGCATTTATTAATATCCCCTGATGAGCTTTTTTTTTTTTTAACTACTGCATAGAATTCTATAGCGTATCAGTTAAGATACTTTGCAATTCACAGAGATCTAATGTTTCTATTTATTGGAATGCTGCTGGCGTCTCCCATCAATGTTTTTAATGACAGAACCCAAGGTTTTTCTGGTGGACCAAGTAACAGAGGCTCAATGGTGTCACTTAGCAAGTACTGTGAGGCCAGGAGGCTCCATGTGTCCCATAGACAACTACGACTGTCACCGCCTGGGGATTTAATCCTCAATGATATCTCTGGCTCTGCCTTGGTTCAAGAGTGAAAGTCCCATCTGATTGGCCAGAATTTGGTCGTGTGACCTCCTCTTGGCTCAACCAAGGGGCAAGAGAAGAAAGATTCCCAGTTTCCAAACTGAGAAGTGACAGAATGAGAGGAGTCCTGGGAATTGTTGTTTTACCAAGACCGTCCACATTCAACAAGGCACCCAAAAAGAGGATAGAATCACAGAAAAAGGGTAGTGGCAGGTTGGATAGCCCAAAACTCTGCTATCCAGAGCATGCATATACATTAACTATTACTCCATTGATTGACATTTAGGTTGGGTTCAAAATTTCACTGTTAAAAATAATGCTGAAAAGAACATCTGTATATATACCTTTTTGTGTACACAAACTTAAGTCTAGAGAATTAACCAATTTAGGAGGTTTTGGTATTGTATGAGAATGTTCAGTCTCACCAGGTCTGAGTATTACCACTTCAGAATTTTTGCTCAGAAAATGAAAAAACGAGCCACCAACTGGGAGAAGATATTTACAAAAGACATATCAGATAAAGTGCTGCTATCCAAAATATACAAATGCTATATAGACTGAATGTTTTTGTCTCCCTCCACTTCAGATTCATATGTTGAAGCCTAGTCTTCAATGTGATGGTGTTTGGAGATGGGGCCTTGGCAGGTGATTAGGTTTTGAGAGTGGAGCTCTCTGGGACTAGTGCCCTTATAAATGAGCCTGGCCTCAGAGAGCTCCCCCTTCCCTTGTGCTATATGAGGACACAGCAAGAAGATGGCAGTCTATGAACCAGGAAGTAGGCCCTCACCAGTGTAAATGAGTACGTAGGCATTTTGGAAGACAGTTCAGCAATGTGCAATGACATCCAGAGCTGTCAATCCATTCCTATCCTTGGGCTCCTAGAAGTGTGATTCTAGTCTGCCGTAAGGAAAGAAATCTAAAAGGAGAGAAGGCTATCCACATGCAGATGTTCTTCATTTTAATAGTGTCACTTCTGATATAGAGAAACCATTTATAATCAAAATATTTAGAAACAGGGTAATAAGTCAATTTTGGTGTATCACCTGGATGCACTGGTATACAAACATTAACATGAGATTTACCTAAACACAAAGTAGTATCTTGTATTGGACCCTAGATCAGAAAAACGACATTACAGGGGAAACCAGTAAAATCCAAATGAAGACCATGGTTTGGTTGATAGTATTGTACTATTACTAGTTAGCACTACCACTGGTTAATGTTTTATCCCTACAAGGAGAAACTGGGTGAAAGGTGTATATGGATTCTCTCTACTAACTTTGCAACTCTTCTATAAATCTAAATTTATTTCAAAATAAAGTTTATTTAAAAAACAAGGCTTGTATCACACCACAGCAAAATTATCTTGTGGTTTTAACCTAAAAAGTATACCCAGTCACTGCTAATACTATTATTATGGTCATATAATAGATTCACTTGAAAAATAACTTGAAGGCAAGAGAAAAAGACTAATTGTTACATTAGGGTAGCTGAGATTAAGGAGGTTTTCCCCCATAGTTTCTTCTATTTGACAAGTTTTCCAGAATGCTCTTATATAATTTTTCATAGTTCAAAAAAATTAAGTTCAAAAGTATTTTTACGCCCAAAGATCAAGTCTCACGAGTGCAGGTGTAACTGCGCTCCTTGGGTGCTAACGGAAATCCACAAAACAACAATTCAGGAAGTTTGCTGTGGGGTTAGAGCCAATGGTGCTGTCTCATGTCTGCAGTCTGCTTCTCTGCATTCAGTAGTAAGGCTAAAAATAGTTTGCAATTAATGATGCAGATCTTTTAGCTCTCAACAATAAAAGGTAATACACCTGCATAATACAGTATACTCATGTCGCAAGTCACCCCATCACAACAAACCGAAGGTGCCCAGGACGGAGGCTATTAGTGCCATAAACAATGCCACATGGAATTGTCAGTGGACAGTGACTGAGTGCTGTTGGAGGAGGACCTGGTCCTGTAAAGGACACAGAACATGCAATCCTCTTGCTCCTTCCTACTTTGGTGGCTGGTCGTAATCTAGAACAGGATTTTGCAAAATGTGTTGCTGGACCTGCCCTGGATTCTCTAGGTGAGTTCTGATTCTAAAAAGTGATGTCTCACAGTCTGTTAAAATAAACAAATACACATATAATAATATATAAATAAACATGTAATAACAGGTATATAATGCTACAATTATTATTTGCATTTTCAAATATTTTTTTAAAAAGAAAATAAAGCTAAATAAAATACAGCTAAAACTCCATACTGTCTTTCTCCTTCCTTCTTCTCTTCCAGGGGTAACAACCATTCTGATGTTATTGTATCTTATCCTCACGAAGTCTGTACTTTTATTTTACCTAAAACTTTCTTTGATTTTTTTTTTTTTACTGGAAACAACCTAACTGCTCATCAGTAAAGGGATAAAGTGTGGTTTGTCCATACAATGTACCAGTATCTTTACCACTTGACATTCATTTCTTTGGAAAGAGGGAGATCTATCTGGGCACAGAGAGAGAGAGAGAGAGAGAGAGAGATGTGCACACCTTTGTAATTTTGAAGCACTGCTAAAGCATTAGCTATCCTCTGACATTATCCTCACTGCTGGCCTATAAATCACCTTTCTTAGGTTTCTAAATCAGTTGCTACTTGTCCACGTGAATTTTGGTTTCTAACATGCTATTGCTACCATCTTCATCCATTTCCTTTGTCCTGCTGGTTAATGTTCTTTTCCCCAGTTTACAAGCATTTTAGTGGGGACAGAAGAGGTGAGGAGTAAATATGCTTGTTCAACCCACCACATTGACCAGAAGTCAACTGATCCTCACAACACTATGCAGTAAAGGTTGAAGATATTAGGCCCACTTTACAGGTGAAGAAACTGAGGTCTAGAGTCTGTTGGCTAAAGATCTTATCAGTGGGACAGAAGGAGGCAGAGACAATGAGGAGCCAGGCAGGGATGTTCTTCCTCTCACTTGTGCTCTTGACAATTTTGCCTCCCCTTGTTGGCTCCCACTGTACACTCCTCCCTGCCGGTCACTACCGCACAGATGCTGTCAGTCCCAAATCTATTTCTCCAGCCTGGCCTCTCCCGTTCAGAAAGGCAGGCCTGTCTGCTCAAATACCAAGCAGACCCGGATGTCAGTGGGCCTCTCAAGTTCAACATGACAGAACTAAATTCATCATCTTTGTTTTCAACCCGAGCACCTCTGACAATCCTGGTAAATGACATAACCATCAAATCGGCCACGCTCTATCCATCCTCTCCTCAGAACCTTCCTCAGCCCTGTGCCTGGAGCTGCCCTGCTAACTGTTGAGAGCTGTGCGTGCCGTGGAACCTATTCGCCATCCCTGGACCCTCAGGATGCAGTTT